GGAGGGGAAAAGCTTAAGTGCAGGAGTGATTGTGTGATCTTTTTAAGGCAAGCAAACTTCTATACCTTTGTTAAGCTTGTGAAATCTTGTATTTTCTTGTCTATGTGTTGGAGAGTAATGAAAATTGATGATGGATTGAATTGTTCACATTGATTGATCTAAATGATAATACAAAAAAAAAGGATAACAAAAAAGGCATTGTGATGGTAATTTGATGTGTATGATGTTGTGAATGACTTTAGTGGTAATGTTGATACGTTATTGATGAAATACTTTGATTGAGTGGTTATGAATTGTGAATTGATATGGAAGTTGTCCTCTCCTCATTATTGTGTGAACATAGCTATTTGCATTGATTCTGAAACTCAGTTGTGATGGTTCTTTGTGAAATGATGGAAAAAGAGGAACAAAGAGGATGTAGTATATCCGAGGGACGTTCCACACATCAAGGTTGATACTATATTCGAGGAACATACCACACATTTTGGTAGTTGCATGGAACGATATGTCCCTCGTGGGTCCCGTGGTGCGAGGCAGTGAGTGTGTAACATTAGGATATACATGTATTACTCTATTTGATATTTTATATTATTGCATCGTACTTCATATGATTATGATTATTGATCTCATGTTGTTGAGACTCTTGATTGTGATGATAGACTAATTGTGCAGAGGTGCGACTCGAGATACTATTTATGTGCTATTTTGTGGAGTGGAAATTGTTGGAAACTTTGTGTCACGACCCAGGGTACCCCCTAGATGTGACATGGCGTACAAGACCCCGAGATGCCTCATACAAGACACTTAGCTTTCATAGTCAAGATAATAGAAAATCGACGAGATTTAAAACATTTTCAACATAACCAAAGTTTTTAATTGCAAAGCGAAAGTCTAAAACACCTGTCTCAAAAACCATCTAATACAAAAGAATTTCGTGACATTGCCCGTACATCAATGTTCAAAACTCAAATTAAAAGAACATAAGGAAAGTAGTGGTCAAATCCTCGGATGAATGAGGACTCACCGATCTTCAACTCTTTCTCTACTATAGATCCTAGCCACGGAGATGAGCTTTGAGAATGCCGAACCCTACATTTGGATAAGAAATGTAGGCAAGAGTATGCGTTAGTACGAAAAATTCTTAAATATGATAGCTTGCATAAACATAACATAAGAGTTAAACAACATAAGTCATGAAGCATAATCAATGCACATAATAGATCATTACAACACGTAAGGAATACTTCTTGAAGTAACCTTAATTTATCCTTAGTCAAGACTTGGGTAACCGCCTCTAGCCTTACTTATCATGGAAGGCAAACTCAAGCAACAATCCAAGCTCATCACCTATCATAACATATCACAGCTTATCTCCTAAGGATGTAACACCCCGAATTTTAAAAGAGGTAAAAAATGCAGATTTGGAAAGTTGCAGGTGCCAACCGACGGTGGCCACCCACGGACCGTAGGTGGGTCGGTGGTTGAACACCTCAGGGAATTAGGCACATAGGACCAACGACCTGACTAACGGACCGTAGGACGATCGACGGTCCATGGTCAAGGGGGTCTGTGGATGGCCCAAAACTCTCTGAACTTAGTGACGAACCACTAGGATGGACCGTAGACGGTCCATCGGTCGGGGGTCCGTGGTTCGTGATTGCAGTTATTTTTAGGGGCATATGGGTCTTTTCTGGTTTTAATTAGATTGAAGTGACGTTGTTTTGCCTAGCCCTAGACCACCTATATAAGGATTTTAGACCCCCAAAACTCACTCAATTAAGTCATTCCCTCAATTCCCAAAAGAAAACCCAAATTAGAAGGTGGAAGAAAAATAAGGAGATTGAAGCTAGGTCAAGATCAAGTCTCCCAATCTTCAAGCGTTTGTGGGCTTTGTGACTAAGGTATGATGGCTTTTCATCCATGGGATCCTTCCTCCCACGGAGTCCCCTAGAATTCCACAATTTAAAGAAGAATTTCCCCAATTCTAGTTAGGATTTCTTCCAATGTTGTGGGTTATGATGAATGTTGATCCAATTGAGTGGATTATGATTGTTTATGATTGAATTGATAAAATTGCATGTATTAATTTGAAATTACATGTACCCATGCATATCCTATGATGTTATGGTAGAATTTATATGTTGGGTTTGATGCCATGTGAGGGAAACTCTATGGGTTAGATATCTCCTTATAGGATTGATGATTTATGACTAGAATTGCTTAGGATTGAAGCACGTATGATGAATATGAAGTTAATTGCTTGAGATAAAAGCATAGATGATGATCATGAGATGTAGTTCTTTGAGAGTAAAGCCTAGACTGTGCATTGTTGATTGATTGATGTTATGATGTGGAAGGGATACTTCACATAATGAATTGATAAGCATGATTGAATGAATGTGAAAGGTTTACTCACATGAATGATTCTAGGTTGAAAGGATTGCTCACCTAAAATGAATCTAGACTAAAATGCTTAATGAATGATGAGGCTAGAGGTGATTACCCTTGACCTCCGTATGTAAGGATATGAGGTGATTTCTCATACTCCTTAGAATTGAACAAGAGGCGAGTCCCCACGTTCTTACCATGATAAATGAACATGGAGGCGAGTACCCATGCCCCCTATGAAATGATGTGGAGGCGAGTACCTGCTATCTAAAAGTAAGTAAGTTAAGAGGCGAATACCCATTAGCCTTTATGAACTAGGCATTGATGTGAATCCCCATGTCTTTAAAAGTAAGTATGAGTAATGTGATTATGTTATGAAGTTGACTTTCTTGGAGTGTTGCCAGATATTTCTTCCATGATATAAGCTTGACTAGAGGCGGATGACCTAAGTCTTGGCTAAGGTTAAGTGAGGTTACTTAAGGGATTATTCCTCTTTCATTATGATGCTTATTATGTCTTGATTATGTTTATGCCTTATGTCTTATGTTGACTAATGCTTATGTTATGTTTTTTATGCTAGCCATCATATTCAGTACTTGATTGTACTAACACATACCCTTGCCTACATTCTTATCAAATGTAGGGTCCGGCGACATTGATTCTCACACTCATGGTTAGCTTCGTTGTTGATCAAGGAAGTGAAGTTTTGGTGAGTCCTCATTGTGTTCGAGGATGTGATCATCACTTTCCTTTATGTTTTTCCTTTATGTCTTGGACTATTGTATGGGTTGTGAACCAAGACTTTATTCATTTTGTTTAGATGGTTTGAGACAGTTATGTTAGACTTCCGCTCGTTTTATAAAAGACTTTGATTGTATTGGAAAGTTTTAAATTCCCGCTCATTTCTATTACTTTATGTTATGATATGCTAAGTGGCTTGTATGAGACCTCTCGGGGTCTTATAAGCTTTGTTACATCTAGGGGGTACCCTTGGGTCGTGAGAAAGGACATGAGGAATCGCCTCTTGCCTTCTTATTAAGGGTCATAGGTAATCGCCTCTTGTCCTTCTTACTTTGGGATCATGGGTAGTCGCCTCTTCTCCTTCTTACTTTGGGATATGAGTAGTCACCTCTTGTATAACTTGCATTATAGGAACGTGGGTAATCGCCTCTTGTCCGTACATCATGTGACATAGGTATTCGCCTCTTGTCTTTCTATCATATGACATGGGTAATCACCTCTTGTGTTTTACTTAGATGTCATGGGCCATCGCCTATAGCTTCATCTCAATTCCATAGTTCCTTAACTTAGATTCATTTTAGGTGAGAAATCCTTTCGACCTAGAATCATTCAATGTGAGAAAGTCTTTCACATTCATACATAAGAAATCATGTGGGAAAATCTCTTCCACAAGAATAACATCATTAATCAACAATTAATTACATACGCTTCACTCTCAAAGCAATTTTTATCATAAATCATCACATTTGCTTCAATCTCAAAGCAATTCATATTGTATCTTCTTTATCTTATAAGAATACACATATATCCATAAATTCTCCTTTCATAGAATAAAATCCATTTAAATTAATTTCTTCCTAGAAACATGGGTTAAGCATGGGTACATGGAATTTCATCATAAAAGCATAGAATCCTCTCAGTTCATGCATAATAAATCATAATTCAATCAATTGAATCAACATTCATAAAGACCCACAACTTAGAAGAAAACCCTAACTCAAATTGGGGGAATTTCTACTTTCAATTGGGAGAACTTGGGGGCTCCATGGATGCAACGATTCCATGGATGAAAAGCTATCATACCTTGCTATCAAAGCCCACAAATAATTTGAGAATGGAGACTTGACCTTGAGCCCTAGTTTGAATCTTCTTTTTCAAACTTCTAGAGAGAGAAATATTTTGGAGAGGAAGAACCCAATTTCTTTTGATGAATTTAAGAGAATGAATTGAATGGGTAAGTTTCGGGGTTGAAATCACTTATATAGGGGTCCTAGGCATGGGTAAAACGACATAGTATTGTTTTAAAGAAAAGACCCAAAAGCCCCTGAACTTACAGCTGAGTACACCCCTACACGCCACCCTTCACGAGCCATCAAGGACTTCACGGCCCGTGGTGGTAGCCGTGGTCCTTGACCAGTGGCTTGGAAATCCTGCCCCAAAGTCTACTCTGCTCACGACCCACTCCACGAGCCGTCAAGTGGCTCGTGTAGAGGGTCACCATTAAGGTAGTCACTGCATCCCCTTTCACGGGCCTCACCACGTCCTGTGGTGCCCTCCACGAGTCGTCTAGGTGCTCGTGGGGGGGAGGATCCCTTTTAGGCTTGACTTTGTGAGCCTTCACGGGCTACACCATGGTTTGTGGTGTCCTTCACTGCTCGTCTAGGCCTTCGTGAAGGGTGCCCAGGCTCAAATCCTTGGCTTGTGACTTTTAACTTAGTCCCTTGCTTAGTCTACTAGATTTCGAGGTGTTACACTTTGGTTGATGAACCTAATACATGATTGTGGTTGATTTTGTAATTGTTGAGGTATTACTGTTGAACTATGTGGTACTTGAAATTGTGAATTGTTAGGTTGGGTTGATCTTTGTGCAGGTTGTGTTTGTGGAGGTTTGATTGGAATGAAAGAAGTACTCGTATTCTATTTTTTTTACCTTGTGTATAGTAGTTTGCTTGTTGAGTACTGTGTCGTTTGGTATTCACTCATTGCTTCTACATTTGTGTAGGTTACAAGTCTGGATCTGCGTGATTATTCTTCTTCTGTATTTCGTCTGAGGCTTTTTGTGGAGACTTGAGAGGTAGTTGCTTGTCACTTCAACAGGCCCTCTTGTTCCTTATTTATATTCTTGTTCTACTCTAGAAGTAAAGACATTGAGACGTGTATATCTTTCAATTTAGTTGTAATACATTAGTGGCTTGAGCACGTGACAACTAGGTTTTGGGGGTATTTATGAGATGATAAAAGTCCTAGTTGGTGAAAAATCGTCTCTCTCAAATCTAATGACGAACTTTTGAATATTAGGGAGAAAATAAGGTCTAAAATGGAGAATCAGACATATATTGGTCCCTCGGTCTTTCCCCAGGCTGCTACAATTACTGACAAATCGCGCTATAGCAATCTCGTTACCACAATTAGGGGCCCACAATGGCCTTAAACAGTAGCTCAGGGGATTTTTCATCACCCCCTCCCCTCCTATTTCACAACACACACTTGAACTTTTGACAACACACAGATATATCTTATCGCGACAATCGATATAGTCGAATTTAAAAGAATTCGTCTTTCATTTTGAAAATTTCTATGGACCACTAATTATGCCTTGAACTATCATAATATAAACTCAAGGTCATCAAACGCTACACTGTGAGACACAATACCAGATTTTTGTAGATTTTTACCAAGTCTCATTTTGGGAAAACTCTACTCGGACATTTACATCCAAACAAATGTTATAACGACGGGATGAATCGTTACAAATTTACTTCCCAAACAAAAGTAAACAAAGAGAAGTGAAAATAAGTTAAAAGTTCAAATGGGACACACACATGAGAGAAGTGAAAATCATAAAAGGCTTAAGTCATCTGCAGCCCCTTAAAGTTGTCCGCATATTTCACTTAAACACCTCGACTATAGCTATTACCTATTGAACACCTAAATTGTTCAAAAAGTATACCTATTAAACACAAAATATTGATGTGGCAAAAAAAGTGTTTTACACTTTCGTTGAGAGCATGGAAAAACTTAAATAATGTTTTATTTTTATTTTTTCCAAAAAAAACTTCATACTTTTTCTTCTTTGAGTGTCACTTGGCATTTAAATAATTTAACTTTAACAAATATATATTTAAAGTAATACTAATTCTTTTAAAAAAAAAAAGAGCCCCCACCCCACCCCTGTAAGTCGACTTCTCCATGAAGACCACTGCACTCCATTTTTTTTCTTTTCTTTTTCTATTCTATTTCTTTTTAACATTAATTTATTAAAAAATAAAAATTGAATCAGCTAATTAAATTTGGAGGAAAAAAAGAAGAAAGAACATTGGACCGAAAAAAGTTAGTCGATTCACGTCCATCTCGATCACCTTCAAACAAATTTTACCATTCAAATTAAAATGTAAACCCATTAAAATTATCAAACATAATATCAGATTGATTCAATAAAATTAATTTAGGTCCTCTTGATTTCTCTTTGTTATCGATCTCAAGACGATTGACAGTGTCTTTCTTCATCATTCTTGTATCAGTCTCTTTGAATATATCGATCTCACGTATTAGGAATAAAAAGCAATTAACAAAGAATTGAATTTTGTCCTTTGAGAAATAAAATCTTGCTAGGAAGAAGATGAAGAAGAAAGGGGGATGGGGTAGGGTTGGGCTACTCATTTATTTTTATTTTTATAAAAACAAAATAGATGGAAAATTTATTTGAAATAATTTTGGAAAATTGTTGGGCCCAACGCCACATGTTATCTTTTAAGGGAAAACAACATAAATCACACTAGTTTAGGAGCTAATTACCTCTCTTCCCATGAGTTTTCGATATTACAATTTCTACCATATTTTGGTTTCAGATACATGTACATAACACGTTTAGATACATGTATCTCGAATACATGCTATGCAGATACATCTAATTATATGTATCTAAATATAAAAGGTAGTTTAGATACATGTATCTCGGATACATGCTAAGCAGGTACATCTAATTATATGTATCTAAATATGGAAAGTAACGTAAACACATCAATTTAGGAGGAAATCACGCGTTTTCCTATTAATTTCTTCTCCAATTCTTCCATGAATTTCCTCTCCCAAAAATTTCAAAAAAATAATAAATTTCTTCTCATTTTTTTGAGCATCAGAATTTTTTTCTTATAGGTACATAATCTTAATTCAGATATGTGTACACTTTATGAGATACGCAAATTTTTAATTAGATACATGTATATACACATACAACTAACTAGATACATATTTTTACCACCATCTCTCTTCCCTTTCCCCTTCATCTCTCTCATCTTTGGCAATAGAAAAAGTGGCAATTGATGCCACTAGTAAGAAAATAATAAGTATTTTGCTGTCAAATCAGTCCAATATCATACAAAAGTTTGATTCTTCAAATTATAATTAATTAGATATTAGACTTCCGCATGTTGATAGTCTTAGAGAAGACACCCCCATTGATACATTCTTATGCTACAGTGGAGGAGTCATCATTGTACCGAGAGTATTTTGGGATGTGATGGGAGTGGAAGGATTAGGAGAGAGAGTAAGTTGATCATTTGGAGTGACGATAAATTAGGGGAGAGGGGATGACGTGAGAGATAATTTGAATTGCTAATCAACCATAAATTAAGGAATTTGAATTTTAAGATAATTATTCAACACCATATTTAAGGAACTTGTATAACTGATTAATTTTTTTAAAATATATGATATAATTATTAAAAGTGATATTATATGTAATTGTTTAAACTAGAGGTAAAATAAGTATATATGATAGTGAAGTATGTTTAGATAAGTAGTTTTTCCATCTTTTAATTAGTCATTTTGCCACATCACAGCAAGTGTATTACACACACTTTATTTTTTTTTACTTATTGTCGAAAAATATCTAATAGGAACAAATTTTGAATAAATAAAAGTGTTCAATAAGTACTAGCCTTGATTGAGATGTCTAAGTGAATTATGTGAATAACTTTAAGGGACCACAAATGACTTAAGCCGATCATAAAATCTACATTTTGATCATCACTCATATGAAGGATGAAAAAAAAAAAAAGGTGCAATGTTGCATGTGAGGGGGCAAATAGACAAACACGAGGGACGTCTTGGGACTTGACACACATTATTAAATACAAATGTGTGATAGTAAATTCAGAAAGACAGAACAATATACGAATCCAGAGTAGTAATAATGGGAAAAATCTGCCCCCACCACAACCACACAAACACAAACTTCATTGCCACTGACACTGATAGTTCTGACTAAACCAACATACAAGCCCCAAGATAGGAAAACCCAATTATACTGCCACTATGGTCCCAAAAGGGATTCACTTCACTTGCATGTGACTTTATTTTCATTAAGAAAACAAAATATGTATATGTATATACTTGTTATTTAACCCACTTCCATAAGGTAATACTTCCTTTGTCCCTAATTACTTGTTCATTTTTTATTTTTTAGTTGTCCTTAATTATTTGTCTATTTTGACAAATCAAGAAAGGACAATTTTTTTTATTTATTATACCCTCAATTAATTACTTTTAAATTTTTAATTCATCAACTTCATAATTAATAGGAATAAAATGGTAAACTCACTATATAAATTTTTACTTCATCCACTTCATAATTATAGAGGTCTCTTTAATTATTATTTTTTAAAATAGTATAAATTACTCCTAACAAGCTACATCAAAATTTTGTAATAAGCTGAAATCGCAAAAGACACCTCTAAATGTGAGTTCATATTAAGTCTCTAAAATCTAACAATCAGAATTTGTTGAGTATTTTATGGAGATTAAATGTGCTCACTTTTAGCAAGATTACTAATACCAAAACGACTCAAAAACATATTTTAAAGGACCATTTTGAATTTACTCTAAAACATAATATTTTTATTGATTTCTCTCGCATTTCAGGTAGGATTTTTATAAAATTTAGACAAAGTTACTTTTAACAAAAGTGGAGCAAAGTTAAATGATTTTTATGTAAAAAAAAAAAAGAATAGCAACTTTTGAGTGATGAAAGCAAAGTAAGATGAGCACCCATGAACAATAGTCCTTTGTTATATTTAATCTTCTTGTGGTATAATGTGATATAACAGAAATCCTTAAATGTTCCCTGCTGACTCTAGATTAAGGCTGGGCACCGGACCGGGTTGTACCGGTACCGGTTTATCCCAGTTTATTCTGGTTCCGTTCCGGTTAATTATTTTTATTAAAAATTACAAACTTAAGTTATTTAAATTATAAATTATAAGTATAACTTATAACATAACAATAAGTAATAACTTATAAACTTCAAAAGATTCAAAATTTCAAATCTTGAAAACTTAAGCTCAAAACCATTAAAACAAAAAAACTTTATTAAACTTAAACTTGCAAATTTAATAAGTAAAATTTTTTAAAAATACCTTTAAAATAAACTTAAGTAAAATTACATTATAAATTTCAAAACAATTAATTTAAACTTAGAAAAATAAACATTCATATTTTCGTAATTCAAAAATTCAAAATAACTAAAAAAAATTATTATTTTTTGAATAGCTATATGTGTCGTCCCGTTTATCCCATCCCGTTCTATTTCGATCCGTTTCGGTCCGTTCTGGTTCCGTTCCAGTCCGGTTCCATCCCGGTATATAGTGGGACGGGACGGAACCTAGTATCCATCCCGGTAATTCCGTTCCGGTACCAGTTCGTTCTGGTCCGGTCCGGTCCGGTGCCCAGCCTTACTCTAGATAGTGAATACCTTGCCTAATCTCCCAGTCAGTCGTCCGATGCTTAGAGTCTGTTTGAATTGATTTTTGATTTATTTTTATCTGTTCATAAACATTTTTTTAACTTATCCAAAAAAAAAAAAAAAAAAAAGCTATTTTAACTTTAAAACATTTAAAATAGGTCAATTCAAATAGACTCTTAGGCCTTATTTGTTTTCATTAAGATTTAGATGTCTGAATCAGAATGCATCTGAATGATTAAGATGTTGTTTCTAGGTCTAAACACCGAATGATTAAGGTTGTTATCTCTAGATCTGAACACTTAATGATTAAGACTGTTTGTTTTTCAACATCTGAACGTACATAATTTATTTACATGAACATGATAAATATACAATTCAACTAAACATTAATTAAATATCAAAAAAGAATTAACAAAATAAAATCACATTTGATTAAAAGAAATGGAACACTTATACTTACTAGTGATGTAGAGATAGTTTGTAGTGATTGTGAAGGTAATAGTTGTTGTTAGTGGCTAGTAAATAGTAATGATGGTGGTGATGGTTGTGACGGTGTAGGTGGTTGGTATTGTGGTGACTATCATAATGGTGGCGATTTGTAATGGTGTTGTGGTTGTAATGATGAATTTTATTAATGTTAGTAGTTGGCAGTGCTGATGGTGATGGTTGCAGAATGTGTGATAAATGGCAGCGGTGCTAGTTATGATCATGGAGTTGGTTGGTAGTAGAGATCGACCACATCAATGGTAGTGACTAATAGTAGTGATAGCGATGGTTGTGATGGCATAGATGATTAATAGTACTAATTGATGATTGTAGATAGAGTGTGATAAATATTATCTATACCAGAATACCTGTTAATAATATTAAGAATCTTTTTAGAGGTGACCAGGATAGGTCTTGCCCTCATTTGTTAATAAAGTACTTGAAGTAGAACAAATATGAAAAGGCACATTATATTTTGTCACAAGATTTTTTTGATGGCTCAACAAATTAGTAAAACATTTGTGATTGGGAAGTAAAGGGCCAGATTTTATAACCATAGAATCAACAACTTGCCTGTAGGGAAAAAGTACACAAACTTTTTGATGTCACAGTGTACTATCATCAAGTGGAGATAGAAAGAGAGAGATGATGAGCTAAAAAACCTAAATTGATTACTAGAATAAAAAAGAAGGCATTGGCTATGTCACTTTGCAAGTTACAAAGACAGCCAAAGCCTAATCCACAATTTATGCCTATTCTACTTCCAAATTGTTAGTTATGTGTAATCTTGCTATCTAACAGATAACTAAAACTACACCAGCTATTTATACAATAGTATCCAGCAACTTCATCAGCCCCAGCTTAGTGATTCACCCTAATCCATTCATACCGGCCAGAAAGCGGTACATCATTTACCACATCAAAGTTGTACCTGGTAGGTGAAATGAACAAATTTTCACATTAGTTTGACATACATACGCGTTTAAATAGGAAAACATCCAAGAGAAAATGACTACATACTTCTCCATAAAAAGGCGCTGTTGTTGCTGCTCAGCAAAGGTGAAAAACTCCTCGATTTCATGAGCTGAAGGGATATTTCTAAGGATAAAGCTCCTTGTTCTTTGAGTTGTTGTGTTTAACTCTGTATGCCTTGTCGCAGAACCAGGGTTGACCATAGTATCCACCTCCCTCACCAAGCTGCAAGGCGTGCTTTCTCTAGTGCTTCTAATTATACAAGAAACAACACATTCACAACTATCGTTACAAGACCCTATGCAAGTATTGAGTGAGAGAAAAAAAAAAAGAAATTCTGCTGGAACCACAACAAATAGTTATCTACCAACACCTGATCTTCAACAACAAACCAAGTGTAGTCTCAAAAACGGGGTCTATAGAGAGGGTACACTGTACGCAGATCTTATCACTACATGATCTTCCACACCCCAAAAAGGGGCAATAAAGTACTGAAATAAGATAACTGAATACAAAAAAAATAACTAGTCCTAGTTTCAACACAACGTAAGACAGCAAATAATACACACGGGGTGAAAATGAAAAGGGATATCCTATTTTTAACCTAGAATATTACTGAAGACTTTGCCTTGGCTTACTCTCAATATGAGACCCCACGACTAGGACATGTCATGAGAAAAGCACATGGTGAAAAGAAAAGCAATCAATGGCTTTATAAGCTAAAATATTTTTTCTATATTACAAATATATTCATGACCACCACCAAACCCTAATTTCTTCTTTTTCTTTTCCCATTTTACTGACCACCATACATCCTTTAGTGCATCAGAATAAACAGATATCTCTGTTATGACCAGTCACAATGCTTAAGAATATGATACTAGACAAAAAAAGAAGAGAATATCCAACTTGTTATCAGAACAACTAAGATCTAATTAATTAAAAAATCTAGTCCAAACTTCATTTTTCACTAGGAAAGCAAAAGAAGAAAGAGGTCCAACAATAGAAAAGTTAGGGGCTTCCATTTAAAAAAGAGACAACAGCAGAAACAGAAACAGAAACAGGACATTTTGCTGCATTTAAAGAAATTTCTCATATTAAACTATATTTGCAATATTTTGCTCTTTCTAACACCAAATGATAGTAAGCCCCTTTTCTATGCAGTTGGAATATGGTATTCCGATGGTTGTATACTATATGATACAAGAAATGGCTATTAGTTACTACAATTCTTTTCATGTAGATTCACTAATTCTTCCTTGTCAAAGAAAAATAATATATGACCAAAATCTTGAGGTGCTTGAATGGTAAGAATAAGAAAATGTTTTAGCTTCATAAGCAACACAAGATCACTATTGACCACCTTCTCCATAAATGTTAACACCTATGTTGCTCGGACTCTTTGAAAATGTATTTTTGAAAGTGAAGAGTCCGCACAACTTAAGATAAACACTATAAGAAAGTGCAACAAGACATCCAAGGTCCCAAAGAGGTGAAGCTACAAACAAAAGCAAGCAAAAAGGGCCAACAAACATCATGAATAGGAAGAAGCAAAGGCAAAGGAATTAAGGACACAAAACCGAAAATTCATAATTTCCTTGACCTGTAAGAGAGAAAACTTACAAAGCAAACATTTTAAAATAAATTAATGAGTTTATAACTAAATAAATGAAGAGAAAGAAGACTCCAACCACGAAAATATGCATTAGAATTTTAAAAGCATGATCTCTTCAATCTTCAAACCTTAACGAGATTTTTTTCCAGAAAAGGCACAATAAAAGTGGTACCCACAAATGCAACACCAAAAGAGAGTCTTTTTCCGTGAATGTGAATGTGAAACGTGCTCAAAGGGCCCTCCCTTTCAAACAAAAGCAACAAATTCATTTCCAGCTTCAAACAAACAGAGGATAGATTTCCCTTTTAGAAGTTGAGAAAGAAATCATCTAGAGCACACACTAATTGAACAAAACTAGTAAGCATACAACTACTTCAGTTAACAAACATGGAGAAGAAAGAGGAAGAGATTTATACCTATCTCTGTGTTCAGAATCAAGATTATTCTCACCAAATGAGATTTCATCCTCTGTTACCCAACCTTTTTGGTTAATTGAAATAGACCCAACAGAGACAGACTCTGGGTGTGAGTTAGAATTTTCCGGGTTCGGAATGGGGGTGGGTGGTTTGTGAAGGCGGCGGGAACGAAGTTGAAGGTAACAAGAATCAGAAACAGAGGACAGTGGGGGTGGTGGAGTTGAAGAAGAAGATTGAAGACGTTGAAGTGCTAGGGTTCTTGCTCTAGTACGAACACCAAGAGAAGACTCCATGACATCGCCAGTTTTTCTCAAGTATTTTCCCATGATTTTGTAATGGAAAACAGAAGAGGGAAAGGGGCAAAACAAGAGGGAAAAAAAGGGGGATGAGTTTTAGGTAAAGTTAGGGTTGAAACGGGATACTTATGACTCAACACTCAACAGTAACGTTACCATTTTTATTTTATTTTTTCATTTTTTCTATTTTCTATATTACATACAACAATAATATATTCAGTAAGGTCTAAGGAAGTTGTAGTGTACATTAATATTATCATTATTTTGTAGAAATAGAGAGCTTGTTTTCAAAAGACACTCGATTCAAATGCATCTAATCCAAATAGTAGAAAAAGAAAATATAGTCATTAATTAAAAAAAATAGTACAATGTTTTATGATTTTATTATTTTAAAAATGATTACTTATCAATAAATATTTATATTATGATAAGCTGTTTATCGTATTAATCGCTATTATTTTTTAAGAGTTGTGTAAAGCATAAAGTGGTAGTGAATTGATTTTCTAATGAATCAATCTATTACACATTGACAAAAAAAATATTTTTTTGGAATGATGGGTACACTTCAATATATTATCCAGTACAACTACAAAATTAGTTCTTTTATTTAACTATTTTTTGAAGAAAAATTCCGTTGAAAATATATCCTCGAAATGTTGCATGCTACTATCTTTTCGACCGTTGTTCACTTGTGTTATATTTAGGATGACAAATAAGTGGGTTGAGTTTTTTGTTCGATGTTCAATATCTATATTGATATGATGGATTTAGTTGGATATGGATAATTGCAAATGAGATAGATATAAATAGAATAGATAAAATATTCATTTTAGATAAAATACTCATTTTGATCTATATTTGATATGGATAAAAATGAATATATATCAAAATGAATAAACTCAATGGTTAATGATATTTATTGCTTGTTATTATGTAAAAAATAATTTCTTTCAACGATATTTTTTTCAATAAACTTTTTCTCCTTTTAGGGTGTATTTGATTATCAAAAGAAATATTGTCATGTTTTCCTAGAAAATATTTTTCTAATTTAAGGTAATTTTTAAAAAAATATTCCATATCATTTGTATATAAGTAATTTTTCTTAAATTAGAGGAAAGTAAATTTATTTTAAAAATATCTTTTTTTTCACACCAAACACATTTTTATTGTTGCTAACCTGTTTATTTTTAGAAGCAATTTTTTTAAAATAAATTTTATGAAAAAGAAAAAGTAATTTGTTTTTGACTAATTAAAAAGTATTTTTGATAAGCAGATTGTGTTTGATTAATCTTTTTAAAAGTTACTTTTGAGAGTCAAATTATAAAAATGACTAGTATCAAATCACTTTTAATATTAATATTATTTTATATAGAGAAATTATTTTAACTATCTATTATAAATTTTTAATTTAATTTATATATTTATATTTATTAAATTTAAATCTTCATATTGAAAGTTTCAATAAATATTATTAGAGATAAATAAAAATAATAAATTAAATATCGATATAATATTGATGATTCAAATATAATTAAAATTATCAAGTAAAATAAATTTTAAAAACATTCCACAAATTAAGTGAATACACATGAAAATTTACCAAATAAATAAATGAATATAAGGGTTATATTAGTAAATATGTATATATGACAGGGACATATCGGTCTTGAAAAAAATAATTTGTTGCTTCTATTTCTGCTTTTTTTAAGAAACAAATACTTGTAGCTTCTTCCCAACAACAAGAAAAATTGTCTTTGCTTTCTTTTACAAATAATTTACTAATTAGCTAAACATCTTAATTTTTTAAATAATTTTTTTAAAAAAAAATTCAAAATAAATATGATTAGAATTTTGAAAAGTAATAAAGACTTCTGAATTTTATAGCCTTAAATTAGATATATATCAAAAGTATCAAAATGTTATTATTATTGTTGTTACGGTCAGAGGAGTTGATATTTAATCCTGTGGTATTAAATATGGCAGGTGAAAAATTGAAATTAAAGAGTTATAAAAATAGAAAAATATTTTTAAAAAAAAAACTAAATTAAAAAAATAAAACAAATACATTGAAATGGATAGAGTACTTAATTTCTCTTTTTATGTTCCAATCTATTGTGTAAAATAATTTTACATCACTTGAAAGTATGAGAAATTGTCTTATCGGGATGATATATAGAACGGTTATGATGCATGTATACAAAACATAGATTCAAAATAAGAGAACTATAAATTCAGAAGACACTTGGCATGCGCTAAATAATCGATGAGAAGCCTAGAAAATATATCATAAATGATCTCTTCAAATATTGAAGATTTTGTTGGACTCTTTCTCTTTTTGTTCTCTATTGAATAAAGTGTTTGTTACGAAGTAGTTTCATGTTAATCTCTGTAGCTATTAAATACTTGAATGATTTCAATGCTAAACACATTAATTAACAATAACATATATCTAGAAGTTTTAGAAGATATATTTAACTTATTTGGTCTGGGAACATAAACTAGCTATAAATTGAGAATATAAACAATAGAATCTTAAGAAAGATAAAAGAATTATATATTCTTCGAGTCTCCAAAGTAATACCATATATATATATATATATATATATATATATATATATATATATATATATATATATATATATCACTGCAACGGCTAGCTAACGACTAGTTAGGCTTTCATTAGTTACTAAATATTAAGTTTGTGTAAGAAATAATAGTAGGAAAAAAAATTAATATTTGCTAATGGCTAGTTAAATTTCAATAATTACTTTCAATTAATGACTCTGTGCGATTACTTTTGGAACTCAAAGTAGTATCTATAGTCATTTTAGAGGAGCACACTATATATAAAAGTACAGTCGATTCATAAGACCAAGACCCTCAAAACTAGATCCTTTTGTGTTCAAAGGAAGTGATTGACATGGATGCCCGAATCTATAAACTTTTCAAGGGAGATTGCCAAGAAAGAAGAATCTCTCATGCCACAAGGATTATGGACCTTCAAATGGTGATTATGGTCGACACTCTTTCACGGCTGTAAATCAAGTCTATTTTTCATTGTAAGATTGTTTGTAAACTTTGTATCATCTTTTAACTTCCGATCCTTTATTTGGTAACATGTATTATAAAAGATCGTTTTATTTTCTCAGCATTTTGCTTTCAATAAATGACTCGGTCCGATTACTTGTGGAACTCAAAGATGATATTTATCACCCCTTAAACAAAGCCATTTTTTTGAGCCCTAGGTTTCACCTCCCTTCACCCACTTTCTCTGAAGAAAACATGATATTAATTGGCTCATGTAATGGATTCATTTGTTTGTTTAATGGTTCGAGGAATACCGTAGAACATTTAGTTATATTAGCAATCCTCTTTTGGGTGAATATTTCAAGATTAAATTGTCCAAATGGAAGAAAATAATCCAATGTGTTGCTTATGCATTCTGCTTTAGTGAAGCCTCTGGACAGTATAAAGTATTGAGATCAGTAGTTAGAAAGTTTGTGGGACATCCACAAGTATCAAACTTGGAGGTTTATACTTTTGGAGTTGATGACAAATGGAGAAACATGGGCGAGGCTCTAGAACCTCTATGCGGATCATTTAGTAACGCTAATGTCAATGGTGTTGTTCATTGGATGAATTCAGAAAAAAGTGCTAGCATTTACTCCTTTAATAATTGGATAGAAGAGGTGAAGTCATTGTTTGCTCCACGTGGTCTGAAAAACTTCATCTTCCTACTTGACACTAGCAGAGTTGGGGAATTGTCTATGTTTTGTAATAATAATCATAGTCAGAATGTTGATATATGGTGGATGAAAGAGTATGGAATAGATGAAACTTAGACTAATGATCGCATTTTGAAGGATATTATTCAACTAAATATCTGTTGTGATAGATTTATACCAATCTCAATTTGAAAAGATGGAGAAATATTGATGCAAAGGGATCGTGGCACACAAATAGTTTCTTACAACCCAAAAGTAAAGAAGTTTACGAAGGTTAAACTGTACCTTGGATTTGCAACGACTAGCTACATCTCAAGTTTTTACTCAATCAAGACTATTATAGGGGAAAGTTTTCCAGTCTCATATGTTTACTGAAGATTGAGATACTTTAGCTATTTAAGTTGTTTTATTTCCCATGAATATTATGTTTTGCTTCTATGTTTCTTGTATAGTCTAGTGTAAGATCAATCAACTTTTATTGTGTTAGAATGCTTTTGAGTTCTGTTATACAAACTCTAATTGTCTCATTCTTTGTATTGCGAGGTGAACGATATGAGCTTTTTCAACGAAGAACATTTCAAAACTTCATTGTTGCTTCCTTGTGTTGGTCAAGTTTATTTTTCAGCATCTCTGTAATTTCTTTCTACATAATGTAACCTGATAATATCTTATTATTTTATTTAAAATAAAATATTATTTATTTTATTTTTAAATAAGTGATATTTGTAATCTTTCATTTTTTTTTTCAAAATAAAGAGTAGTTTACATATTAAAAAGAACTATTCTTTTTCTTTTTAAAATTATCTTTATTTTAATAAATGGAGTTTTACATTATTAAAAAGTCATTTTGAAAAAAACAATTAATTAGGAAAAAGGTAATAACAATTTTATTTTATTTTGGAAGAAAATATTTTTTAAGAAGCCTGTCTAATCTATAAATACGGATTATTTTAAAACAAGGGACTAATTATCCATGTATCACTATTAAAAGATGTGGTAAAGTGGATGTGATTGCTCCTCTCTTAACTAGAGATTTCAAAATCAAGTCTTGAATATGAAAAAATCTTTAATAGAGAGCGCAATCCCCCAAATAGGATTCGACCCGACGCAAATCTGAATTAATCAAGTTCCAATACAAATATCAAATACCAAATAAAACTATTTTAAAAAAAAATATCCATGTATCATTTGTCTTGAATGTGTGTGTGTGAGGGAGAGAGAGCCTCAGATAGTAATTGGCCAAAATGTAGCATGCAAGTTCCGAGGTCCGAAATCAGTTGCACACAAATTTCATAATAATACTTCCTTCGTTTCTATCGTCCTTACTAAAAATATATGGTCCATAATACTCCC